GGGGCAGCAGCAGCAGGGGCTGATTTCTGTGTTTGCCTCAGTTTCCTGTGCTTTTCTCCTTCTGCTCCTTGCAATCCCTGACCTGCTCCTGTAGAACAGCTCCAGACCCCTGGATGGCTTGCAGTGCTGCTTCTGCCTTGTCTGTGGTTCAAGGACGTGAGGGTGAGTCTGCTGTTTTTTGGGGGGGGGGGGGCGGCTCTTCCTCTGCCCCAAGCACTGCTGGTGACCTCCTGCTGCTGCCTGGGGGTGGTGTAGGGTCCCACGCAGGCTGTGGGAGGTCTCTGAGGTTTGAAAAACAGGGGCGTTGCCTTTGGAGAAGTTGTTGCTGAGCCTTTCTGTCCTGTGTTGCAGGCAGAACCCTGGGGCTTTAAGCTTTGATCTTGTGAACTGACGGGAAGGCTCTTTCAGCGTTGGGCGGCTGAGGAGCCTTGCAGGGCCTATCCTCAGCGCTGGGTTGGCTTTGCCTTCCCTGGCTTGGGCAAGCAGCAGTGCCAGGTCGCTGTGACTCACCTGGCGTCAGACTCTGGCTTGTATGCTTTGCCAGATTGCAGGCAGAACCCTGGGGCTTTAAGCTTTGATCTTGTGAACTGACGGGAAGGCTCTTTCAGCGTTGGGCGGCTGAGGAGCCTTGCAGGGCCTATCCTCAGCGCTGGGTTGGCTTTGCCTTCCCTGGCTTGGGCAAGCAGCAGTGCCAGGTCGCTGTGACTCACCTGGCGTCAGACTCTGGCTTGTATGCTTTGCCAGAGCCAGTCCATGATGCAGGGTGTGCTGGGGCAGGCCTCTGTATGCTCTGAAGCCCCTGCTCCCCAGCAGACAGTAGCTGATGGCTTTAAGGATTAGGGTGTCTCGGGGTGTGTGGCACTGAGTGCCCCAGTGGCTATGACTCCATGCCGAGGGTTGCTTTTCCAAGGAACAGGAGCTGGGAAGGGGCTGGGATGGGGATGGCTGAGCCTGATGTAGAGAAGGTGGGGAGGAGAAGGGCAAGGAGGGAGGCAGGGAAGGAGCTGGTTTGAAGGATGATGAGCTGAAGATTTGGAGAAGGACAGAGACTGAAACAGTCTGAGGCTGGAAAAGGTGGTGGTGAACTGCTTGCACTGCAACCAGCCTGGAGCAGAGCAGCCTTGAGGCAGATAAAAGCGCTGCTGTGTGCACAGCCTTATCTTGGGCCTCGCTTCAGCGCCACATTCTTGGAATTGCTGCAGCGCTTGACTGGATGGGCCCAGGGCCACAGACCACAGCACCTCACAAAACCTTTCATCTCCTCTGGGCGCTGCGGGCTCTGGGAGGCTGCACCGGCCTTGAGCAGCTCCCGCACGGCGGCTGCAAACGCCCCTGTCCAGGACGCATCCTGTGCTCGGTCTCCCCAAGCTGAGTGGAAGAGGTGAGGCGGGTGTCACAGCCAGATGGGGTGAGTGGAATTACCTCGTCCACTGTGTTTTCCCCAGGGGAAGTGCTTCGTTAGAGCTGTGTAACTCCTTTTCTTATAATGGGAAAGTTTACACCCCCAGTGCCCTGGCCTGCGTACCAAGGCGCCAGCATCCCCTGTGGGTCTGCGGGCAGTGCCATCCCTGCTCACACCCCTGTGCGCCCACCTTCCTCGGGAGCCAGGAGAAGTGAGACCATGACAGAGTGGCATTAAAGCAAAGACTGGTGTATTTCTGCTGGGCTGTTTGATACAGACGATGCCTGCAGGACGAGGGGGTCAGTCTCACCAGCAAATACATTTTATTTAGACAAAACTTCTCACAAAGGATAGACACACTTATTTGTGGTATTACTGTGCAAAACCTGGTGTGATGCACAGGCAGCTCCATCCCTCTCTTCCCAACCCCCTTCTTTGTGTATTTAAAAAGAGGAAGACACTAGTGCGTTAGACTGGAACCTGCCAGAAGGCCCAGTGATAACCAAGCGCAAACAAAGCAAAGCGAGTTCACCAAAGGGTTTTGTTTTGCAGTAAATCTGTGTTCAGAGCTCTGAGAAAGGCACATGTGTGCCTCTTCAACCTCCCCTTAGGGCTGCAATTGTTGTTTTTACAGAAAAACAAAGGAACACAGAGTAAGCACTTAAAGAGGAATGAGATTAACTCCAAAATCCAAAAGTATGACAAGAAACTGGCCACAGCTGAGACAAAATGGAGCAGCTTTTTTTCTCTCACTTTGGTGCAAGTTTATTTTGTACACTATCCAACCATACACCTGTGATACAAATTCTATGAACCTGCCACAAAGCATTAAAGCACAACATACCTATTATTCTGTAGACATGTGCATTTTTAATCACCACCCAGCCTCCATGGATTCACTACAGCAGTGATTCAACACAGGAACTTGTAGTTCTGTAAAAATGCAGATGTCTGATAACCGTACATACGTGGGGGGGAGAGCAAAAGTATTCACTTCTAGGGAACATGGCTCATCTCTTCTGATTTAAAAAGAAAAACAAATACATCCCTGAAAGAGCTGGCTGTGTAGGGATTTCTGTAAAGGATCCTGTAAACTCATTTTCTATAGTAAAATCTAAGCCTGCGGGCTTTTTGCTTTGTGGAGGTCAGGAATGAGAATACACGAGGACTTCGCATTTATTCTGTCTTGCAGCATAGCCCCTTGAGCTGTTGGCAGATTTGACAAACCTCACTGGAGTACCTGGAGAGCTGCGCACGGGTGAAGGGAATGCTCTGCACCCCGAGCTGTGTTAACGATAGGGCTTTTCCAGCTAGGAAGTTTTCCAACCAGTACAATCAGTGATTGGAAACAGCTACACTTCTGAACCATGAATGTGGCTTAATTAAAATGACCTATCAGTAAATGCAGTCACAACAGGAAGTTTATGCGGCAGGAAACACAAAACACAAAGACAACGCTATTGTTCCACAGTTCTCTCTGCAGCTAGAAAACCTGTTAACTTTGAAAGCCCTAGAAAAATGCTGCACTGGTTTAGAAACCATCTACTTGGCATAGGACCACATTTGTTTTTTGCACACAAACATTTCATAAATCTCCTCATTTCCGCTTTAAGCATTCTGCATTTCTTTGCCAATCTTGTAGCTGAGGATTTTGTTCCAGTCGATCTTGGTGCGGGTGACGGGCAGCTGCCGGCGTAAGGCTTTGAAAGTGGTGTCTGACATGGTCTGGTAGTTCTCGCTGATCGCCGTCTGCAATGGCAACGGACTGAGTTAGGGCAGTGACAAAACCCTGAGAAAGCATGATTCAGTGTCAAAGCCACAAAACCCTTTCTACAAGGTGCGCTATTAACTAATGAGTAATGCAGCCACCAGCGTGTGTGCAAGTAAAGCGGTTTCCAAACTCTCCTGTGAATGTGGGGAATGAGTCTCCTTAGGCGTTTCAGTGACTGATCTGTATTGAGTCTCTTGCACACAGGCTGGGACAATATAAAAAGCTGTCACACAAATCTCCTCTTCAGTATTTTTAACTGTCACAGAGGAGAATACTTCAGACTCACCCACTCCCCTTCCATGCTTGTTCCAGGCACCATTTGTAACCCTTTAAAATAACTATACGGCAAACTTTATTAATTACAAACAGCTTTACAACTATATTCTTTAAACAAATACTACTGCCCTTTTCTAAGTAATTCTTACAGTCAATACCAGATTCAGCCAGAAAGAGAATTAGAGGTCAGTTTTCCATGTCTCCCTTGACTGTAAGTGGAGACTGACACGGTTGCATTGCATTTATTTAACCACCACTGATCTTACCTGGTACTCGTTTTCTGCATTCTCTATTATTTTAATAAACTCCTTAGCTGTCTGGACATCACTCTGCAAAGGGGAAAAATATTTCTTTATGTTTAAGAGTAACTTACAACAGCTACACAATAGACTTCTTCTCAAATGACAGGCTGGGTATGGATGAAGTGGGTAAGACCACCCCATGTGTGTGGCTGGGTTCCTCTCGCTCCCTGTGACGTCCCATTGAGGTTCACCATCACGGTGTGCACAGGTAGAGCCTGTGCTCCACACTGAACCAGGACTGCACCCCAGTGAGCAGAAGGGAAGCAGACCTTCATGGTGTAGATTTTGTGGCTGTTGCTCCCTCTGCTGTACTACAGGACTTCCTATTTTCCCTTAGCACACTGCTCTTAGTGTTCATTTCCCTTGTATATAGACAGAAAAGCATTTTCTGCCCTCTTCAGCTGAAACTCGTAAGATAAGCTTTCCAGCAGAGACTGCACTTTCTAGTACAGTCAAACCTTAAACAGTTGAGAACCTGGGCTTCCCGTGTAACTCTAAATACAACTACACTGACAAGTCACCCTAAAATTACATTACTTTAAAGTCAAGAGCATGTAGTCACAGAAGTGCGTGCTTTACAAGATGTTTAAGAAATAAAATGGTTGCTTTATCAGATAATAAAAATCTTTTAGCACACTTACGGAAACCTGTACAGAGTCCTGGATATCTTTGTGGCTCACCAGCTGCACATTGCCATCTTCATAATAGTGAACCTGAACAGAGACCACAGGTAGGTTATCATTAACACTCTTTTATAATCCCTAGAGCCCCCATATGCTACCAGAATGGCACAACAGCATCGTTGTGCCAGTCTTCTCTGCTTACGTGGAGACTAAAAGCAGGATGGATTTTCTAAAAGGTTTCATTCTTTGTCAAGACTGTTCAAGATAATGTTAATGCAGTAAACGCCTAGAGTTGAAATAAGAGCAATTATAAAAGAATTCATGGTATAGGTTTAGCCCTATAAAGTGAAGCAGAATTGGAGGCATATAGGGTAACGCTACATAATAAACAGCAGGCCAGATTGTAGATGATGTCTAAAACACTAGTTTTTAAGAATGAATTCATTGAATTGCACAGTTTAATAGCATCTTGACTTGAGAAGGACATCTCGGCTGTATTTCAGCATCTCATTCTAGGTTGACTGCGTTATTGTAAGAGAAGCACAATGCAGCTTCTCCTGTTATTGCCAGAAAAAGTAGCTCACCTGGATCTTGAGCACTGCAGCCACTTGAGCTGTTGGTGGTGTGATGGTAAACTTCCATTCTGATCTCCAGCGACCATTCCTAAAAACAAAGCATGAAAACTGTATTTCCAAAAAGCTCTAGCAACAAACAAACCCACCCCAAATTAACAAAAGCAAGTTGTTTCTGCTGTCGTCTTATGACCAGTATTACAGTGTCTCACATGGCACTAAATTAAGTTTCTGAAGCACAGCTGAACACAGCTTCAGGACAGAGGGGCTCCAGTGTACTTGTAAGGGGTATCCAACGCTAACGCCCTCCTCTCTCGATAGGTCACTGAGCCACACTGAAGGCCTCAGGGAAATGCCAAGGAGGCCGCAAGGAGAAGAGAAGCAGAACTTCTTGGGAAGCCCCAGACTACTTGCCTTTCAGACTGTGTTAGAAGACAAAGGATGGATTTGTTTGAGGACTAGTAAAGGAAGAAAATACACTATGTTGAAAGAGTCTTACCAGAAGTTTTTGGGCTGGAACTGGTGGCTCTCAATACAGGCAATAATTGTCTGCTGCCCATCTATAGATTTACCATAAACCTGTATTTAGAAAAAGAGTTAAAAAGGCCCAAGAGCTGAGGAAAGCCATTCTTAATTTCCGTTCTTGGCAGCATTGTGGAGGATTGCTATTGTGCTATCTCTCTGGGAACATATACCACTAATTACATTGTCCAACATGTGTGTTGCACATATGTGTAAATAATGCCTTTTTAAAAATTATTATTAACTGCAGGTGTTAAGGTGCTTGGCAGTCATGGTTATTAACGTCTAATACATCTTTACTGCTGTGTGCATACCAAGATATTTGCCCCCTCTTTGGAACTCGTTATTCTAAAGTTAGCAAAAATGCTAGTGAGGATGGAGAACTCAAACAGCACTGCCCAGCGCAAAGTCCGTTCAGGGGAGCAATGAACTTTCAGTGAAAAAAGATGGATACTCAACAGTGCAGAAGCCATTGGGGTAATGATCTTTCACATAAGCTCTCAATGCGCTGTCGCAGGCGTCTCTCCATTGTTTTAAAGCTGATTCCGTGTCCTCAGGCTGGGGGTCACTTGCTTCTTTCCTTAAATGATCAAACTTAAAAGAAAGTTTGTTTCTTGGGTCTAAAAATCTGCCATTGCCCAGATCACCATGTTCTGTGATTAAGACCTGTAAAAGAAGTTGAAATTAAGATATGCTGCTGTAAATGTGTTGTTCTGTATTTTTCCCTATTTGAACAGATACCAATGTTTCAATAGATTCTTTCATTAAGCTATAATATCACATAAACTAACAAGGATTTTCAGTAATGATTTCAACTAAGAGTATTTGTAGTGAGGCTGAGTACTGCAACTTTCTCTTGCCAAAGCTATTTCTATGGACAGCCCTCTTAAAAATATCTGTCTCCCATGAACATATCTGGGATACCAGCAAAGCTAAGTCAGGACTTGGCTCAGAACAGAGCAGATGGCCAGGGCAGCTTCCCAGCTTCCCCTCTTCTGCAGGACTTGCTGCTGCTTCTCAAAAACACAAAACAGTTTTGCTGGCATAGAGTGGATAGTATCAGATTGGTACAGTCAACAATACCGGATGTCTTTAGGGTAACCAGGAATGGATTAAAAATGCGGGGGAAAAAAAAAACAACCAAAAACCACACAACCCAAAAAAACCAACCACCAAAAAACTCTTCAGAATCTACAACCGCCTGTCAGTAGGAACTGTAAGCAGGTAGCGAGACATAAGGAGTTGTAAGTGAGCTCTAACTAAACAGTTATCTTTAATCATTCCTACTTTAAGTAGACTTCCAGTGACTTCAGCGTGGAGCTTTACTTAAGGAACAGTGAATTACAGATACTTGGTAGAATCAGACAATACTTTAAGAGAACATTTCCCCTTGGTAATATAACGATGCGTGGGGGAGGGAGGAGAGGTGATAACTTGTGAGCAGAATGAAACTAGTCAACATCTTGATGAAACAACGTTTTGGTTCTTTTTGCAGTGTAGTAATACAAACCTCAAGTGTAAAAAGCTTTCTCTTACCTGATCATCGTACCCTTCTACCTTCACTGGAGTGAACTGATCCATGTTATACTGTGCAAATGCACTGTTAAGAATTAAAAGAACATGAACTTTAGCTGTACATCCACATTTCCTTTGATTCAGGAGTAAGCACATGGTGTGATTCCTATTACAGAAAATTTCAACTTAATTTGGCAAATAATATACACGAGCACTCTTAAAGGATTTTTCAATACCTTTTATTGACAACAGCTACAAAACCCCAGGTTTAAAGCCAGGTTTATTTAGTGATGACCAGGAAAGTACAGAGTTCAAAAGCAGAACAGCAGGCAGCCTGGGGGAACATGAGCAAGCCAAGGCAAAACAGGAACACCCCAGCTACAATTTAGCAGCAAGGTAAACAAGTAGACTAATATTTACAGCAATTTTCTTATGTAAAGACCTGCTGACTGACATGTCACCTAGCTTGAATTAAAATCTCAGCATCAAAAAGCTTGCATGCATAATCTTTAAGCACCTTCTGATGCAAGTAAACAAGACATTTTGAAAGCTTTTTTTTTCTGAGGGCAGTTCTCTTTCTAAACTTTGGCTAAGGATTACTCAGTATTTCAGGCTTCGCTTGCTTTACAGATCAGGCTTCAACAAGAGCAGACACTCCCACTATTGCAGAGTTAAACTTTTCTTTTTAGCAGAGTGCTTTCCTGTCAGTTTTATATGGCCTCTACAGCATAAATTCCAATTTGGGGCTTTCAAAAGGAATCATCCATGCCTTTTATTATGTATTTTGTTGGGGGTATCACAGACGATTGCTCTCAATACAACAAATGGCTTGGTTTATCACAGAATGATGGGTGTAATAATACAAATGCATCTCTGGTGGTAATTTGACTTGTTTGAAATATTAATACTTACTGTGCTGCTCCTTCCCTGAGAAGATTGTCATTGTTAAGCAATAACCGGACATCTGGAAAGAGAGTTCAGGTGAGTTACTGGATTTTTTGATCAAATGTTTCTTTTTAAGCATTTCATTTTCAACTGTGTAAATGTAAACATGAAAATGCTGAAATAATTCCATTAAGCATATGTAGTCACAGAATGACTGCATGCTTTTCCCTCACCACTTCTTAATCGTAAAAGCAGTTTATTGTGATGTAAACTTAGATGCTTATAATAGATGAAATGCGAAGAAAACATCACTGATCATTTTTCCTCATTCACTTACCATTGAATACTTCATTGAATTCTCCAGGGGGTGCATGAGTGATGAATTTTGCAGCTATACGCACCTACAACGAAGCAGAGAAGTAATTAAACTAAAGACAAAAGAGAATTTACTGAGTTCATTCATACTGCAACCTACACGGAAGGAATTCACCAACAAAACCAATTCTGACAGTGGTAGGAAGTGCCAGATGTAAGGAGAAATCTAGGCCTGTATTGTCAAAATAGAAAGAGTCTCTGCAAAATACAGTCATTTCAAAACAGAAATAGACCACATTTTTTGAAGTGTAACCAAGCAGAACAATTCCAAATGTACTCGGGAAGAAGTGCAAACTTCATATGGGCACCTGTAAAAACGTGAACTGTTCAACCTGCGTAGTGCTGACCTACTTAAAGAACACGAACGCTGGCTCGCCACTTCTCGGGGACATTCCTAAACCATGTTTTTTTCCTGATCCTTGCTGGTAATCAGAAACCTAAATGCCAAGGTCTATGAAGAAGGCACAGCAGCAGAGATGTCACTGTAACCTGCAGCACAACCAGAGAGCTAAGGGGTGTCTGACGAACCACAGGACACCGCGAGGCCCTGGGATGAGCCTGTTCATTGCCGATGCCTGGCTGGAGGAGGTGCCGCTGCTCCACAGCAAACAGCGTACATAGGATGAGAGGTTGATCCCTCTAGAAATGGAGCAGTAAATCAATGACCCCAATTGCTCTGGGACTGCTTCGAGAGTTGATTATGCCTCATGGACTTAGAAAAGTCCTGGATGTGCTCAGAGAACAGGAGTGCGGAGCTACAATGTGAAAAGCTGGGGACTGACAGAATGAACAAATTACCAAAATGAACCTGAGAGCTTGGACGGAGCCTCCAAACGAAACCATCCAAATTTCAGCCGGTGTTTTAGTTTTTTCTTGATCCTCTTGTAATGCTGCCCAGGTCACTTGTAACCCTGAGCAGCACACAGCACCTGTGCCATTCTGTGGCATGTTGCTCCTCTCATCCTGACGTCGTATTTTATTGGAAACTGCACTGTAGTCCAGCCATGAACAGTGATGGCAGTGGAAGAATTCGGGCATGTGGAACTGGGAGTGATACAATAAATAACCAAAAAGGCCAACTGTAAGGAAAATACCTGAATGTCTGCAAACCAAAGCCAGAAAAGAAAAACCCATTCTCTTCTAAGAAGTAATACAGCTGCACTGTGTCCTGAAATCCAATATACATGTCTTGCATTGTGAGAATTTAGGTGGTCTGGGTATTGATTCTGTTGAAACTACCATGAGTTTACGGTTTCTTTAATGGCTTTTACAGGACTAAAGGGAATAGAATCATCTTGGAAGACTTGAAACAGGAAATGTCACAAAATTAAACCTCTCCCTCACAATAATAAAAACGTCACATTTCTTCCAATAAGCCCAGCTGACAAAGCTGTGCAATCAGCCCCTCTTGCTCAGCGAGACATTTATTGAAGAGGACTGCAGAACAGTGCTCGTTACAGCTCTGATTACTTTTCCTACTTTTCATTTTGAGCAGTAAAGAGTGTGTACATATCTACCTACTTCAGCTGAATTATTGCCAGAGCTGGAAAGAACTTGCTTCTCTCAACAGTCTTCCCTGTTTTAATTAGGAATTGTTCTTTGTACTGTTTGTCAAATAATGATTTAAAGCAAGCCATGAAAAGAAGTAAACATCTTTCCCAAGAAGGGATATATTGCCTTATTCCAGCAGTATCAAGTATCAGCTTCTGCCTTTACTGGATTGAGCTTCAGATAAAAATAGGCAGTCTTCCAAATTAGCATCTATTTCAAAAAAAATATATACATTCCTTATGCCTTAATACAGGTAATGTAGTTATACATGCACATGTAATTATGCAACACAAATGAGAATCAAAGAAGTCAGAAACTTGTGCATTTGATACGATACAGAAGGTCAAACCATTGTCTCCTAATTTTCTGCTTTTAGACAGGGTTGGTAAGTATACAGCGATCCTGAAAATGTACCTCTGGCTGTATGAAATGTTCCACTGTTGGAAGAACTGTACCGAGGCCACAGTGCTGCCATAACCCTGGTGGATGTCACTATCAGAAATGTGGATGGCGGTGCAGCTAACCCAGCGGTAATTAAGAGCTGCTCTGTATCCTCTGCAGACTCTCCCGAGAGCCGGCCCTGAATGGCTGAAAGATTTCTGAAATGACAGCCTGTGCTTGTCTGAGAACGAGCGAGTGGAAGCAGCGGCGCAGGTGGCTCAGACCGTGCTAAAGCGCTTACAAGTGCGGACCACGTCATGCCGTGATGCCTCTCAGTGGGAGGACTGCACTAGAATACATCCTGCAAATTCACTCCCCAGATGAACTGATTCCTTTTCATAAGGTGCTGTGACATATGGAAAAATAAGGCCTCTACAAAGCCATAAAATTTACTGTCTTGCAAATTTATGCAACAGTGCTGCAGCTGCAGAAATTACTGCACAGGAAACCCTCGTAAAAGAAACCATTGTATTAATAGGGTGACTTTTAGATCAATGGATTCTCATAAACAGATCCTTGTAAAAAAACCCAACAAATACCACAGGAGATTTGTGTTGTCTTCCACAAATTCTTCCACTTGGAAGGATGAACAAAATTAAACTGTCACAGAAAGGACTCTGCATTTCAGTCAGACGTCATCACGAAACCAGCCATAAACGGAACAAACGCTGCAAGTGCACAGTGTTCACTTCTACAAAGTATCCTGAGCCCTGCTGCTCTCATGCAGCCACAAAATACAAAGCATTGAAGTCAAACAACTGAAATCAGGAGTGGAGTGCAGGAAACAGGCTGCAGAGTAATTAATTCTACACGTCAAGCATTTGAATCTCTGCTGGGTTTTAGAGCTGTGTTGTTGCAGTGGTGTCAGCCCGGTGGCAGGATGTTCATTTGCAGAAGCACCAAAATAAGACTCTCTGCAAGCCGCGCTACTTCCTGGCCATCGCTGCCATTTCAGGTCGCTCGCAGCAAAACCAACTTCCTGCTGCTGAAACGGGGAAAGTGTCCGAGGGGGAAACTGCTCAGTGGCGGTTTAAACTGGCAAAACGGCAGCAGAATGAACGTAAGGAGACAAGAGGGTAGGCTGCCGTAGACCTAAACTGAAACGAATCCCTTAGCTTACCAATACACCCAGAGAGAACACAGAAGTGAGGCTTGGGTGGTATCTTGTTGCTCTATTGCTTTATTTTTATGCCTTATTTTAAAGCGCTGGTAAATTCAGAATTAAAAAAGCAAACACGTGTAAAAGTTTTAGGCTTTGCTGCCTGTTTCTTCTTCAGATCTGCACTTAAGATTTTCCTTTTCTACCTGTGCTAGGTGTGCAGCTACTTTAAATTGAACTTAGGTTGCCTGAGCCGGGATGTGAAGTACAACACAGGCTCTGATTTCAAGCAAAATCCCATCCTGAGCTTCACAATAAATGTCACTGTAATGATGCTGATATTGACAGTTTGACGGAAAAATGAAAGCAGGCTCCAGACTCATAGGATCCTTGAAGATCTGAGCCTTAATGACCCCTCCAGAACAGTAAGAAATAAAGCGAAAAGCTACTTGTAATATTTTTATAATGTAAGAGTAACAGTGAATACTTCAATTACCATTTGTAGGTAACCAGTGTTATTGGCACAAAAGGCACCCTTTTCATTTGTTAAATGAAACTCAGTGCTGCTGTAAAACTGTAACTTTCCCACACGCCTGCACAAGAGGAACAATCTCTTCATTTCTCCCTGTCCTAAAATAAAGATTGCTCTATTTGCTTCTGCTCCAGTATAATTTATAGGCTCTACCTCTAAGTTACTGTCAGCGGCTGGGGCAAGCAGAAAACGCCAAGACACGCTCTGCGGGTGTTTATGAACTGTGTAGGTGTCACGGCACCTTTTAAAGACGCCGCTAACTTTGCCGACCTGGGAAATGAAAGCTCAAGAGCAGAAAATTCATTTCCACGCACGAAGCAGCGTTGAGGCACCTCAGCCGCACCCCGGCAATACGGAAATCGAAATGCAAAGCTTTGCGCTAATAAATAACCGCTGGTCGCCGGCCTCTCACCCGGGGCAGCGGCGGCCC